AAGAAAAATACACTTTATTTAATTACATGTTTAAAATGTAACATATGCCGCCTTCCATCACGTAATATTCCAGTCTTTTACTTCACATTTCCACTTCTGTAAATCGAGTAATATGTTAATAAAAATATCATGTAATATATGTTTTGAATTCGTCTCGATGTCCTCTAAAGCTATGAATAAAAAAAAATGTATGTTCCTATTTAAAAAACCCAAGGTGACCTTGACTTTGCCAAGAGAACAAACTGTTTTCAAAATTTGCTTTACTAATATCTATTGTGCACTTCATACCCTGCAAATATTGTTGCAAACTTCTTTTCGTAAGGTGGCTGCAAGTAGGAGAAAAATCGTGAGTAGCGTTACAGGTAACACCCTGTATACAAAAGAAAATATATTACTATCAGAATAGTGCACATGACACATACAGGGTGTACTATCGACTTTACTAATCTGTCATTTCTTAAAAACTCGTCAAAATATTGATGTAAACTTTCTTTTTAATTTTACTGAATGAAATACTCTGTTATGTTTTACAATAAACACGGCTGTTAATTTATTAACAAAAAAAAAAATGTTATCGCTTATAATTTTGCAAGTAATCATTTTGTTACTACATTAATAAATATTTAAAAGTTGATGCAAATCATTTAAAATATATGATAAAGAAAATGATATCATAATTTTCACATAATTATTTTTCAATGAAAGTAAGATTGTTGCAAGAGGGATTTTAGGTATACTTTCTTGAAATATAAATACATATATGGTATACCTAAAAGGTTGAAATAAAAACTTTATGCACCTTTATTAGTAATTCTCTATCATGCAGAATGTTGAGAAAACTGAAAAAAAAATGTATAGCAAAATTATGTACTTCTTCTTTTCTATTTTAAAACAAAATTCTCTTTTGCGTGAATAGGGCTTAAACAAACAACTAAGTAGACTAACGATAGACCTTTGCATGTAAAAATATGCGATGATCACGAAGAGCACGCGCAGACACGAAGGAGCAGAGCAGACTTTACTCATCAAAATAGGTTCTATCACATTCAACAACCTTCTCCCAACACATAACCTTGAGTGGTTATGAATGAACCGCCATTTATTACTTGTTAAGAAGTTATAAAGAAATCAAAACTACAGTATAGAGGATTTTATACAAATGAATGTCAACTATTACGGACATTTTCCATATGATATTAGTATACTAACTAGTTCTAAGCAGACCCTAAGGCCGCACCGTAAGGAACATAGGCTTTTATGGCCAATA